AATGGGAACATCGCAGTAATTTGGTTATTGACGTCGCCAGTCCGCATCACTAGAATGGACTATAAACCGTACATATGAGGAAATAAGCTCTAGGCCATGTATTTTTGAAAGGATAGTATTGTGCACAAAGTAGGAACTCGTGTGTAAGTTCTGCACTGAATCATTTAAGACAAAAGACGTAGACGCCAGTGAGTGTTCTTAATGGTTTATACTGACATTTTCCTCTGAATGATGTGGCGGCAATATATTCCTGTACTTTGCAGTTTTCTTGAAGACGTCTTATGCCGAGACTGGAATGGTGCATTTGCACCGTAGTACTCAGCACCGCACCGCACCCGCACCACTCGGCATAATGGCGGGAACTCGAAACGCAATTTTAATTTTTAGTTTTTGATTAAAACGTATCTGGCGTCTTACGCACTTTCTGAAGAGGGCAGATTGATCTTGAAAAAAAAGTAAAAATGAAGAGAACCCGTCGTACGTAGCCATAACCCGCTAATAAATGGGTGCGCCCACTTGCCAAATCCCTTTTTTCGTCTTCGCTATCGTCGTACATTCCTTTTAGGCACTCCCAATGCCTTTTTCTTATCTCCTATTTGTTTAAGGTTCGATTGTAGAAGACATGCGATCACTTGTGACGTCTTCTGGGCAACGTCATCGTGTGCTTCAACGCATATTGGACCGGCCTGGTGTTTTTGGACTCATCTCCTATGCAGCAGCATTGTACTATGCCTCATTCATTCTAGATTATAGGAATGCTGAGCATACAAGGTTCGCTCATTTTAAATGATATTGGCAGGAGCACTGGATTAGCCAGCGAGTGCATCAATAGACCTTCTCTAGGGGAAAAGATGTTCTAAAGGGATTTAGCTGTACTGACTTTGTTTAGATCTTCCAAAACATCAGGTTATGTAGTAATAGAAGATTTACTGATTCAGAGTCAGCGAACATGCTCTGATGCCTGGATTAGTTACCGAAAGATTCGACAAAGATGGATTGGCAGTGGAATATTTGCATGGGTTGCGAGAACATGTAAAGTTAGTTTTACTTTTTATTTACAAGGAGTAATCATACTTCAAAAAATGCCAAT